ATTAATATCTCGATAACTATTGCGAAAATCGCAAAATGGTACAGGACTTTTCGATTCAGTTTAGCTTACTCTGCCTGCCCACGAGCGCTTTACCATTGAGTACCAGACACTTGTAGAATCTAATAACGCCTGAATTGATTGCAACCTTGGAGAAGCACAAAGGAAAATTATATATAAATTTATTGGTCGAATTATAACAATGTATAATTTGAATCAGAAGCTGATGATGGGGAAAACAATCGAATTTCGTTCGAAGAATTATTCTTTGAATTGGCAGCTCTAAATTGAGATGCGCGCATGATATCAGAATTTTATCGTACATGCAGATGTTAGTGGTGTTACAACGGTGATATCGTCTGTATTTCTGATCATAGAAATAAACTCCGCAGGCAATGTCCAATTATTTAGATTAGACTTGCCAAAATTTTTTGAAGAATACGAAGATTGGTTTCCTTTCTAGGAAATATTTTAATGCAGTTATAAATGGTAATCAGTCGTTGAGAAATTCTCACCAATACTTATAAGCATCATTAAAGGTGGTGCTGTAAATATAATTAAATCATTAAAATTGTCTAATCGGAATTATAAAATGGCCTGGAATTTACTGAAGCAACGATATGAGAATAAACGTACGTATTATTGTACAAATACATTTATGGGCCTTATTCGAGTTGTCGAACCTCTCAAGAGAGAACGCAACTGAATTGCGTAAATTCGTGGATGGGGTTACAAAATACATTCGAACTGTAAATGCTTTGCATTGTTTCACCGAGCATTGGAATCAATATTATTAATTCATTTGCTCGGGTCTAAGGTGAATCCAACCACAGCCGGAAAATGTGCTAAATGTGCAGAATAATACTGATAAACTTGATAACACAAGACTTTATATATAATGTTTTTTTATTTAGTTTATCAATATGCATTAACATTATACATATATTTCGTGCATAAGATTAAAGAAATTTTATAATTCAAAATAAAAGATATTTTTGTACAATAAAATATTTATAGAAAATTTAAGTAGCTATTAGAATGTTAATGCATATTAATAAACTAAACAAAAACATATAATAAAGTCTTGTGTTATCATGTTTATAAACTTGATAACTTTCGTGTCTAATAGCTACTTAAATTTTCTATAAATATTTTATTGTATAAAAATATTTTTTATTTTGAATTATAAAATTTTTTTAATCTTATAAGATTAAAGTTATTAGACACGAAAGTTATTAAGTTTGTAAACATGATAACAATTAAAGACTTTATATAATGTTTTTTTTTTTAGTTTATCAATATGCATTAATATTATACATATATTTCGTGCATAAGATTAAAGAAATTTTATAATTCAAAATAAAAGATATTTTTGTATAATGTAATAAAATATTTATAGAAAATTTAAATAGCTATTAGACACAAAAGTTATATCTAAATTGCATTTCTTGGACTATATAAGCGCTTAGCGTTGTTAGCAAATCATAAACGTACAGGCTAATACAGCTTGAGTTTTAATAAGCATTGAGATGCGTCTGTCATTTCTATCATTGGCTTTTGCCATAATCTTTATTGTGACAATTATGCACGCACCTGAAGCGAAAGCAGAGGCCATCTCCGAACCTGATGCCCAATCTTTGCCCACTGAAATTAGGTTTGGAAAAAAATAGATTCTTGAATTTTCCAAACCTTGAATTTGTATGGTATGTAATATCAATGGTGTTAAGTATAGTCGTTCTATTAAAGCATATTCTATAGCAGGATTCCTTTTATATAAACAGAATAATTTCTTATTTTTAGTTTAAGGAATTTACGAAACGCGTACTCGACATGGTAAGTCGCAAACTGTATATGTATACGAATTAACAATTGTCATCACATTAATGTAAACGTTTATCCTTTATTTAGGCAAATGAAATAGCTGCATTTTTCGTGGAATGAAATTTCGGTGAAATAGGGAAAAATCTTGCAATTAAGTTGTCACATTACAAAAAATGCATAAATGTTATTATATATTTTTTCAAACAAAAATGTAAATTATATTTGTATGTATCTATTGTATTTGTTTATAATTCGCAATAACAAATAAACAACAAGCATGTATTAACAGTATTTTATTTTTTGAAATTTTAATTTTATTTTTATTTTAGTTTATCCTTTTATACTTAAAATTTTGCCCATTTTACAATACATTTTTAATTAATTTTATTTATAAAAATAATATATATAATATATAATAATAATATATTTATATAAAAAAATGCTTTTTTAAATGATATTTGATTGATGATAAATAATTTATTAATTATATTAAATATTTTGGCAATGATATAGAAGTACATATTTTAAACATACACTTTTGAAATTTTGACAAACATATTATTTTTATGC